AGTCATAGATATAAAAACATTTTAATCTTAAATACAAGGCTGTGATATTTTTACATAATTTTTTATCGGTTGGCAATCCTTAAAATTTTTTTCAAGGGCTAAAAAATGAGCTTTCCCAATTTAATTCCTAAAAGTTGGGGAGAATATCCTCCAGAATTTAATAAAGCCGTTCATGGATATTACGATCCATCCAGATATTATGGGAAGCGTAAGTTTTTTTTATATTATTATTTTATATCTCGTGTATCGAAAAATTATAACCTAGTTTTTTTCGTAATATCATTTTACAGCTGATACCCCTTTTACCGAAGTTAAATTAAAGGATTTGTCTTCATGGTTTTCAAGACGACAAAAAACTCCAAGAGCTTGTTTGAACGCACTTAATAGAGCTTATTGGAGATTTAACTGGCATTGGCTTTTACCAAAAAAACCAGGCTATGCTGGATTTCTTCAAATGTATTTTGGATTTTTCCTTGTAAACTACTTGTTCAGTTACAAAGCCTTGCAAAAACATCAACGTTACAGATACCATTAAATATTTTATATTCATTTGAAATGTCAGTGGAATTGAAAATATAGTGTACAACATTTGATTAGAAATTTTTGTTCATAATTAGTAATTATAATATAATTTTATTCCCCATTCTTTAATGACGTGAAATTTAAATTTATTAGCCTTTTCCAACCGATTTTCATTAAAATAAAATTATTTATTTATTTGGAACTAATTTTTTATTACTTTGAATTTACAATTTTGGTTCTTAGTTATAGCAGCTGATTTTCTCACAATATAAGTTCTTTACATAAAAACTTTGTTTTTATTTAATTGCTTTTAATATCCAATTTTTAATGAAAAATTTGACAATGAGTTTAAAATTATATATATAATTATATTTATATTTGTAATACATATAAAAAGTCTTTTGGGTTATTAGATTGCAGTGATTTGTAAAAGTTTATTGGTGGCGCTTCCTTTGGTTCCTTCACGTATAAGAGCTTCAGCTAAATTTCTCGCAAGACAACTTCTTATGTCTTTTAATTTATCTATGACTGTTGGAACATTTGAATTTGAATAATTATCAGACAATTCTTGTAAGCATGACATTAAATCATAAATGTCTTGACTTGAAAACAAATTTTTATTTTTTTCTAATAACGGGACTGCATCCATAAGTAAAGTTAACCAAAAGCTAAAAAAAGTTTTTCAAGTTTAGAACTCCTAAAGAGTCATTTAAACCTAAAATATTTTATTTGAAAAAAATTAAGTTTTTTGAAACTTACAATTTGGGGGGAACTTTATTGACCAACATGTAAATAAGAAGAGCACCTGCTTCTTTTTGATCTCCATTTTTAAGCATCTGACAGAATTCACTATACCTTCCTGCAAGTAACAAAGTAAATTATTAATAATAATTTAGAGTAAGTAATAAAACTATGTTAATTGAACTAATAAAAAACAAGTAAATAAATAAATTTTTAATTTATATTTCTAAAAAAAATTTACCTAAAAATGCAAGCCTATCACTTAATAATATACCAGATCCTAAATTCTGAAGTAAATCTTCCGATTCAAACTTTCCATCTTTTATGTATTTTTTCAAATAAATGTCAGCTAATTGAGATGACAAAACTGGATCCTGACATTTCATTGCCCAAGTTAAAGCTCCACCAATGTCACCTCTGCTCAAACATCTCATTCCTTGTACTTTACTAACATTGTAAACTGAAAAATAAAACCAAAATTTATTTTAGCCTCACATGAATTTTACTTTCCAAAGAAAATAATATAAATTTGTTTAAAAATCTAAATAATATTAATTAAATAACTTACCAACTTCTTCTAAATCTCTTTCTCTGGCAATATAAATTATTTTTAATGCCTTTGCATTTGTTTTAAATGGAACTCTCGAAAGTAAAGTTTCCAATGTTGCTCTCCCTTCAACTCTGCAATAATCTAAATAATCAACGCCAGCTTGCCAAAGAGATTTATGAGACATCAATAATGTTCCATAATCCAAAAGTAAATTTTCATGAAGAGAATTAGCAAAACTGTAATAAAATAAATGTGTTTATAAATAAAAATTTTCAGAAAATAAGAACATGAGTGAATGCTTTAAAGTTCTATTTTAAAACTCACTTGCTTGATTGAGTACTGGAAATGTTTAATTTATCTCCTATGTAAAGTAAATTGGTTAAATGAGTCGGAAGCCAATTTTTTTCTGTCCAGTCTTGAAGCCTTTCAATTACTTTAAAAGCATCAACTTCCATTATGGCACATAAAATCAAATCAAGTTGTTTTATGCAATTAGGACCTCCATATCTTGTTATACTTTGATTAGCATAAAATGCCAAATCAAATATTTTAACTGTTGGTTCAGTATATATTAAACTGGCAACCATGTGCTGATACCAAGTTTCACAATGTTTCATTATAATATCTTGAACTGTTTCATCTCCTATTAATATCTGTTAAAGAAATTTCATTTCATAAATAATTTGTCTTAAGTGTTAATGAAAAAAAAAAAAAAAAAAAAAAAAAACAATTATGAAGATGTGTACCTTAACAATCATGGTTAAATATTTATGAGAGCTAAATTTTCCATCAATTAATATTCTCTTTGCTTCCCTTTTCCAACATTCATGCCTAACTTGAAATTCAGAAATTGTTAATCCTCCATAAAGCTGTGAAAAATGTAATGTAATATATAATAAATAAATTTATAGGTAAACCTTGATAAAAATTAAAAATAATTAATTAAATTTACTTCGAATATAGGCATAGTTCTAAGTATGGTGTCGACAATTTTAAAAGGCTCAGATTCGAAGTCGGGATTTATTTTTAATAACGATCGAACTGTATCAATTCTTCTTTGAAGTAGACAATCGATTACTACAATCCAATATTGTTTAACAAAATCAGAATATGCTTTTTCTTCTAATAAAAATTTATTGGCTTCTTTTTCAACCTGAAATTGTAATTTGCTTGATATAAATTTTTTCTAACTTAAAAAATTATTTTTCTTTAATAATTAAATGTAAAAGGAAAAGACCTGCGGCACATGAAATCTTATCCATGTTATCAAATGAGAAAGTACAACATCACCAGGAATAATATCTAAAAATAATATTTCACAAAGATGCCATATTAATTCCATGTTATAAAATGTTGGAATATTTTGTAAGTAAAATGCTTTTTTGCTTCCTTGACTCGTTGAAGATGCTGACTGAAAATCTTCCAAACATGCCCTTAAAACGCTTCTGTATTGTCGACTTAATTTTAATATTTCTAAAGAAAAATCAGTTGAATCGACTTTTTCAAGCAATTTTTGAGCAAATATAAAATAACCATTTGACTCATTAACTAACTTTCGAGAAATTGGATCGAATAAAACAGAATCTGATCTAACGTGATGAACTACATCTTTATAATCAGGATTATTAGCATATTGACTTTTAACATCTTGACAATGTGCATTAACTTGTTGGCTTGGAAATATACCAAATGTTGCATTTCCAGCCCACGACAAAGCAATGCCGGATTCATAACCTAATTTATTTGGAATAATCTGTAAAGAAATAAAGAATTTACATTAATTTTAAAAATTATTTGTTTATTTTGTGATTAACAAAAAGCAAATTTCATATATTTTCTTTAAAATATATAAGTAAAAATTTATTATGTTTAAAAAATCTGTAGGAGTGTACATAAAAACAGGTTATCATTAGGCGTCAATAAATAAAATAAAATAAAATATTATAAAAAGGTAAAATTATATAAACTTACCACTGCAGGTACTGAATCCGGAATAACTGGATCGGGCCTCGGTTTTTCAGCCATTTATCAAAAATATATATATATTAAATAAAAAATTAGAAATAAATACAATAATACCGTTTGTTTAAGCTCATGCCGCGAACTCTGGATTTCAAAATTAATAATTACGTTAGTCGAAGGGTTTAACGCTCAATCTAATAACAAATTTATAAATTATTATTATTACCGTTTCATATTATTTTTTCTTTTTAATTGCAATCATTTAAATAAATAAATAAATAATATAAATAAAAAAATCGCTTACGTCAAAAAAGTCGTTAAAATAAAATTAAACATTCAAATAACCTACATTGCACGTTACAAGTACCATCAACGTTTCAAACTATATGGATTCTATATGGAGGGCTCAACATTTTTGTTTTTTTTTTTGGAAATTCTGATAAAATTTTATAAATCAAGTGAGTAATTTTTTATTAATTAAAACTTTTGCCTACTTTCAAAATCATTTATATGGCCATGATAATTTCAAATGTTGCATTTTCTTACAACACAATGATTTAATGAAATATTATAGGATTCAGTTTGTAAAACTTATCCAACACTTACCAATTAATAAAAATTATTAATTTCA